ATCAAATGCACCCTGAGGACTGGGAGCAACTCCTTGTGCGCATCTGGAGGCAGAGGTGTCAGGATAGGTTTGTGGCTTACTTCCTTTTTAAGCAAGAAACATGAGAAGCAAGGTGGATTTTGGAGTCAATTGGTAATTTCAGCTATAAGCTACTTATTCGACCTTTGGTTCGAGAGGAACAAGCAATAAGACCTTGGAAATGACTTTTAAGATGTATGTTGAGCCACTGAAGGTTGATGTTAAGGATGTAGTTCAAGAATAACCTTGTAATCAACCTCGAAGTTTGCTTCTTTGTCATTTGTATTGTAGACCGCTTTCATATTGGATTGAGCAAGCAATAGGTAGGTTAACCACTCTTAAAGGACTTGAGTCTTCATTTTTATGGTTCACTGTACCCAACTTTGCTCTACCAGGGCAATAATACGAAAGCCATGCTGCGGACCAACCATAAACCACCCAATGCCTCTCTAGCCCTAGGAGGGTTTTCTTTACACGACTATGATGAGCCTAAATGAGGAGGGAGTGTAAAGCTCTTTGGTGTCGGGTTGTCTTTGCTGGACTGTGTTAATTGGCTGTAACTGAATGTTTATCTCAAGAAAAAAAAAATTTGCTGTAACAGAATGCTAAAAAGTTTGCTTTTTGGTTTGTTTGGGCCAAGTCTAATAGTCTCTTTAAGGATATTTCTTTATCTGTTTTATTTATCTTGTGATTAGTCAGTTTTTAGGAGGATATTTTTTCTTTCTATTAACATATCTTCTTTTTCTATAAAAATATTTCTTTTGCAACAGTTTTCTTATTGAAGAGAAAATAATTTTAACCAAATCAATATTATGAATATGAAATAAATTGCATTAGCAAAGAAGAGAACTCCAAAAAATATTATTACCTAATGTAAGGAGCACACTCCATTAATTTTTCCTTTTAGCTTTCTACAAATCAATTAATAGTTAATTCTAATATATGGTTTTGTATATTTAGACAAAATGAAGTCTATAGAAAATAACTTATGTAAGTGACATTTTTTTCAGCCTCTTTTCACCTTTTTTAGTCTTAACATTAAAAATGTTGTTTACTCTATTGACTGTGTAACAGTGAATAGAGAGTACTTTAGATAACTTTTGTAATGGTTGGAATATCATGTCAACAACAGATTGATAAAAAGGCATATAAAAAATTCTTCCAAATGATTAAATCATACCATTTGATTTGTAAATGGTCAGATTAAGAGGCACGATCTGTATGCCATGAGGTAGTAAGTTGCCAAAAAAA